AAGTCCAACCACTGTTACAGAACCAACACTCTAACTAGGAGAGAAATCAAAGTCCAACCACTGTTACAGAACCAGCACTAAAACTAGGAGAGAAATCAAAGTGCAACCACTGTTACAGAAACAACACTCTAACTAGGAGAGAAATCAAAGTCCAACCACTGTTAAAGAACCAACACTCTAACTAGGAGAGAAATCAAAGTCCAACCACTGTTACAGAACCAACACTCTAACTAGGAGAGAAATCAAAGTCCAACCACTGTTACATAACCAGCACTAAAACTAGGAGAGAAATCAAAGTCCAACCACTGTTACAGAACCAACACTCTAACTAGGAGAGAAATCAAAGTCCAACCACTGTTACATAACCAGCACTAAAACTAGGAGAGAAATCAAAGTCCAACCACTGTTACAGAACCAGCACTAAAACTAGGAGAGAAATAAAAGTCCAACAACTGTTACAGCACCAAAACTAGGAGAGAAATAAAAGTCCAACCACTGCTACAGAACCAATGGTCTATCAGTTAGATGGGAGTGGAATGTGAATACATTCAACATCATAACATACTAGCATTCTATGTGGAAGCTATGAAGATAAATGGCTAGTTGGCCATAGGGTCCGAATCCAGCCACTTTCTCTACCTAACCATCACAGTACTGAATGTGTTGCATGCATGACCTTTGGCTTCCACTTGAATGAGTTTAACAGTGATGTCACCATCCAGCCACTATGATTGGCTGAAATAACCCCTTGAACTTCATAAACGTATGGTCTGTATAATCTGCTAAACCCGTTCTTATTTCTTCAAAGTTTAATTTCAGACTTCCCAAATAACCTGTAAAACATTACCAATAGGCCTAGTAATAGAACTGCTTGAGTAAGGTACATTTTGTAAAGCATCTACATTCTAAATATTAGAATTGTTTATCTTGGTAATGTAGAGCTTTTATAAACACTTATTTATAATTTACAATAAAAGACTGACCAACAAAAACCAAAATAATAACTCACTTCTGTAAGATAGTTTAGCTTGTCTTGCAGGCGACGCTGACGTTCCATAGCCAACAACCAAACATCCTTCCATTTCTCTGAGAGTTCTCGGGCTCGAGGATTCTTAATTTCAGGGTCTCCAACAGAATGAGATTTCCTATTCAGTATATAACAGTTTGTTGTTAGGTGGTGTTACAGAGTTACAAGCCTTTACAAACAGTATGTAACAGATTGTTGTTAAGTGGTACTACAGAGTTACAAGCCTTTACAAACAGTATGTAACAGTTTGTTTTAGGTAGTACTACAGAGTTACAAGCCTTTACAAACAGTATGTAACAGTTTGTTGTTAGGTGGTGTTACAGAGTTACAAGCCTTTACAAACAGTATATAACAGTTTGTTTTTAGGTAGTACTACAGAGTTACAAGCCTTTACAAACAGTATGTAACAGTTTGTTGTTAGGTGGTGTTACAGAGTTACAAGCCTTTACAAACAGTATATAACATTTTGTTTTTAGGTAGTACTACAGAGTTACAAGCCTTTACAAACAGTATATAACA